GGCGCCGTGGTGCACACAGGCACTGCAATGCACGCAGGCATTGCGGTGTACACTCGTGCTGTGTTGCACACAGCTGATGTGGTGTACGCAAGCGTTGTGGTGTGCACAAGAGCTACTGTGCCCGCAGGCACGGTGGTGCAAACTGACGCTGTGTTGCACGCGGCTGCTTTGGTGTACATAGGCGGTGTGGTGCACACAGGCGCTATGGTGCACGCAGGCACTGTGGTGTACACAAGCGTTGTGGTGCAAATTGCCATCTACATGCTGGCGCTACCCGTCATCCGTAATTCCTAGGCACTCCCTGACGCCACCAGCGCGAAACGTGACGTCATCGACCCCCTCCACACCCCCCCTAGATGATTGCCGTCATCGGCCCGGAATAAAAAACAGGCTTCAGCCGCGACCGCGCACACGACGACTACGAGCGACGAGCGACAAGCCACGAGCGACGACGACGACGACGACGACGACGACGACGACGACGACGACGACGACGACGACGACGACGACTGCGGACCAGACTCCTATGCGGATTCCTACGCGGACACCTACGCGGATCCCAATGCGCACGGCGGCAATGCTTGGAGCGCACTGGGGGGGGGAGCGTTACGTCATAGGGGGGGGCGGGGGCCATGACGCCCGTCATGCCCCAAGCGATAAAGTAACGGGCTCTAGGGAGCTCCACCGAAGGCCCCTGTGTCAGAGTTCGCAGGCGGTTCCCCGCCCACCGCGCGTCCATGTCGGCATACCCCTCACACGGATCGTGGCCCCATAAGGAGCTCCACCGATGGCCCCGGCAGCAGGGTTCGCATGCGTTTCCCCGACCACCCCAAGTCCATTTCGGCCTTTCCCTCACACGGTTCGTGGCCACATATGGAGCTCGACCGTAGGCCCCTGCATCAGAGTTCGCATGCGGTTCCCCGCCCACCGCGCGTCCAATTCGGCACACCTCTCACACGGTTCGTGGCCCCATAAGGAGCTCCACCGAGGGCCCCAATAAAAAGGTTCGCATGCGGTTCCCCGCCCACCCCAGGTCCAATTCGACACGCCTTTCACACGGTTCGTGGCCCCTTAGGGAACTCCACCGACGACCCCAATCGCAAGGTTCGCAGGCGGTTCCCCGCCAACCGCGCGTCAATTTCGGCACACCCCTCACACAGTTCGAGGCCTCATAGGGAGCTCCACCGAGGGCCCCAGTGGCAGGGTTCGCATGCGGTTCCCCGTCCACCCCAAATCCATTTCGGCACACCCATCACACGGCTCGTGGCCTCAAATGGAGCTCCACCGAGGGCCCCTGTGGCAAAGTTCGCAGGCGGCTTCCCGCCCACCGCGCGTCCATGTCGGCACACCCCTCACACGGTTCGTGGCCCCACAGAGAGCTCCTCCGAGGGCGCCAGCAGCAGGGTTCGCATGCAGTTCCCCGCCCACCGAATCTGCGGTTCCCTGCCCAATACACGTGTTCGTGGCCCCAGAGGGAGCTTCACGGAAGACGAAGCCCGCAACTGCGGTACACACAACTGCATATGATTGTTTTTCGCTAGGCTAATTACTGTTGGTTGTTACTGTTGTTGTTGATGTCGGTTGTGTGTGTGTGTGTTGGTTGATGTTGTTGTTTATTGTGGTTGTTATTACTGTTGGTTTTTATGGTTGTTCGCTGTTTGTGTTCGTCGATGTTGGTGTTGGTAGCTGTTATTGGTGTTGGTCGTTCGTGTTATAGGTCGTCATTGTTGTTGGGCGGTGTCGCTGTCGCTCGTTATTGTTGTTGGTTGTTGTGGCTGTTGTTTTTGATGATGGTACTGTTGGTTCGGATCAGTCGTTGTTGTTGGTCGTTGTTGTTGTTGGTTGTTATGTTGGCATGGCGGTTGCTCTCGTTGGTTAGTACTGACTGTTGCTGGTTGTTGTTGCTGGTTGGCGTTGGCTGTTGGTGTTGGTTCGTTGTTGTTGTTGGTTGTTGATGTTCGTTGTTATTGCTGTTGTTGGTGGTTGTTCTCGGTCGTTGTTAATCCACCGCGTCCTCCTCCTCCTCCTTCCATCCCCCTGCTACTGTTGAGCAGCGTTTTACCTCTCCCTCCTTCTCTGCGTCACGCCGCATACCCCCGCATTGGGAATATGTTTTGGCACGCGGGCGCGCGAAACGGATCGAACGCCAGGCGAGCAGGGGCAGGCTACGCCAGCGGCCGAAGAAAACAGGGCAACGAACAACGCCAGGTGCGGGGCGAGACTCAGGCGGCAAAAAATGGCGCGAAGGCCAAGCAGAGCAGCACCAGGAACACGAGGTCGGTGCCGAGCACGAAGCCGAAGCAAGCGAACCCGATGGCGACGAAGGATGGCCCAAGCGGCAACAGTCACGTTGATTCGGGGTGTTGGAGTCCGAGGAATGGCGCCGTGGCAGGAGTGAGAAATCTCAAACTGTTGTCTTCCAATGATGCACTTCCCGCACTGAAAAAATGTTCGAGGGACCTACGAAGAGGGAATTTGGAGGGTGGGTGTATTGAAACATCGTTGTTGCGCCTTGGGTTTACACTGGTCCTGCTAATCATCATCATCCTTCTGTTCCTCCTCCTCCTCCTCCTCCTCTTCCTCTTTACTTTATTATCCTTGGCCTCTTGACTGGTTGCCCTGTCGTCCTTCAGGGCCCCCAGGCCATCTCTCCAAAGCAACTGCAGGCCCTTCCGCGAGTCCTGACAAAATATTAACGCTATGAGGGGCCGCATGTCCTTCTTAAAAACGAAGGTATCTGCGCGTCGAGTTTCAACCAGACTCCGAGTTTTCTGTGCTGCAGCGCATGCTCAAAATCCTCTTCCCCATCACCATGACTGCCATCGCCATGCCGCTTCACCTCCTTCCCCTCCTCGTCCACTTTCTCCTTCTCCTCCTCCTCCTCCTCCTCCTCCGCCTCCTCCCCTTCTGCCCAATCTCCCCGGTTTCCCCCGCGTCTGCCCCCCTTCCTCCCTGCTCCCTCCCCCGCCTTCTGACGGGCAACGACTGGAAGGGACTGGCTCAGGCAGGAAACATCGACATGGAATCGGCGATGCATCCCCGATGGGTCGGCGATAGGCCCCCGATACCGAATCCGCGCGTTACTGGGCGGGTTGGGCCTTCTGGCCCCTATAGGCGATGAATAGGCGATTGGGGGTCGTTGCGCTCCCCTCGAGCCTATCCCCCACTGACGTTTCCGCCCAGCTGTCGGGTCATAACTCTGCTCCCCGGCGGCCGGCCGGGACGATCCAGGCATCCCCAGGACGCCCTCGGCGAGGCGCAGCCGCTGGAGAGCACCCCGAGGCAGGAAAACCGTCGAGAATACACGAAAACGATCCAAATTCCGAAACCTCGAACCCGAACCACCCTATCTGCCCTCCTCCCTGCTGCATCCAGGCTCCTCTTTCCTTTTTGGTTCAAGTGGGCGTGAAAAAAGCGGCTCGTTTTCAGAATCGCGCTCTCGCCTTGGCTGACTACCCACCAGACCACCACAACCTGACCCGAAGATCCAAATTTCGGGTTGAGGGGGGCACAAGTTCCACATGTGTGTTTTTCAATGTTCCCCGACGCCCCCCCGCCCCCCCACTGGGAATGGAAGGCAAGTTGGGGCCTTCGGGTTGGATTGGGGTGGTTTGGTGGGTGGTGATTGGCACCGCCGACGACGACGACGACGACGACGACGACGACGACGACTTCCCCCCTGGGATCGCCGCCGATCATCGGCAGCCTAACCTCTTTTTCTGTTCAGTGCGACATCCCTGCAACACAGTGAGGCCAGTGCGACCCGCGTACACTCGCCTCCACAGTAAAAGTGCACGGATGTGGGGCGGCTCCTTTTCAGAATGTGGAGTCCGCTTGAGACCTCCTCAACCCTGGTGGTGGCCCAATGTCAAAATCATGCAACCGTTACAGGGACGGAGAATAGCTATTGATAAAAACCATGCTCTCGATTGAGACTCCCTCGCACAGGAAAAAAGGAGCGTTGAAATCGCGCAACGCTTACACGGATGGAAAGCAGAACATGTTCACGACGGAGCTCTCACTGGACACGTCCTTGAATTTGATGCCCCTGCATATTTGCAGTTCGTATGGCTAGAAGGATGAAGTCTGGATCAGTTACAAAAGAGCAGTCTCGGGAAATGACAGGCCGACAGTGCGTTAGTCTGTAAAGAGGGGCGCTTCCCGCAGCAGAAAAAAATACCCGTGGATACTTGTGAGAAGGGGACTTGGGACGGCAGGGCGTATTGCAGCATCGGTGATGTGCATAGTTGTACGTTGGCCATCGTCATCATCACCACCACCACCAACATCATCATCATCATCATCATCATCAGCAGCATCATCATCAGCATCATCATCAGCAGCGTCATCCTCATCATTATCATCATCATCAGCATCATCAGCAGCAGCATCATCGTCAGCATCAGCATCAGCATCAGCATCATCATCAGCATCATCATCATCATCAGCAGCAGCATCGCATCCTCATCCTCATCCTCACCCGCATCCTCATCCTCATCATCTTCATCCTCGTCCTGACCCTCCTCCGTTATCATCGTCGTCAGCATCAGCACCAATACCACCACCGCAAGCAACACCATCACCACCGTCACCATCGTCGTCATCATCATCATCGTCCTCCTCATCATCAGCACAATCAACATCAGAATCATCATAACCACCATCGTCGTCATTATCATCCTCATCATCAGCATCATCATCGTCGTCATCATCACCACCAACACCATCATCATCATCGTCAGCGGCATCAGCATCAGCATCATTATCATCATCAGCATCAGCATCAACAACATCGTAATCATTACCATCGTCATCAGCGTAACAAATATAACCATTGCCACCACCATTACCATCATCGCCATCATCGTCGTCGCTCTCGTCGCCCACTAATGCAAATATCGATACTGTGTTCGCCGCCGATGTCGTCGCTGATGGCGATACGACTCCGCCTCTTGTGCAGCTGATGCTACGTGTACAGCGTGCGCGAGGGTTGCGCCTGCCTAGATCTGGCGAGTGCGCCCTCGCGTCATGACGTCCGTGGTCGAGATCCCCCAGAGACCACTTGGCACCTGGTCGAAGGGCTCGGGGTGAAAGCATAGGGCAGAGGCTGGGAGACAGTAAGAAGGGACTGCAGAGCCAGGCAGTAGCTGGTGCAGCTTAGGACAGGACATGATAAGGCACAATCCACATGTCCGAATCCCCTGCCTGCGCCTGCTCCTGATCCTGCCTCCCAGCATCGTCATCCTCGTCCCCTCCCTCCATCCCTCCCTCCCGCCTGCCTCCCCCATCCTCCCTCCTCCCTCTGCCAGCCTTCCGCATCCCTCCTCCCTCCCCTTCCACCCCCCCCCCCCTCCTCCTCCTCCTCCTCTTCCTCCTCCTCCTCCTCCTCCTCCTCCTCCTCCTCCTCCTCCTCCTCCTCCTCCTCCTCCTCCTCCTCCTCCTCCTCCTCCTCCTCCTCCTCCTCCTCCTCCTCCTCCCCCTCTCCCTCTCCCTCGAGTGGCGGCAAACAAATCGTAAGGAGGGAGGGGGGCGCGAGTCTCAGCCTCCTCATCCTCCTCCTCCCCCTCCTCCTCCTCCTCCCTCCTCCTCCTCCTCCTCCTCCTCCTCCCTCCTCCTCCTCCTCCGCCTCCTCCTCCTCCTCGCCGCCTAGCTATTAGTTTCCTCAACTCGTCCTCCTCCGTCTCCTCCTCTTCCTCATCCTCCACCTCAGCCTCCCCCCCTGCCACCTCATCTTCCACTTTCTCTTCCTCCTCCTCCTCCTCCTCCTGCCATGCATCCTCCTCCTCCTCGTTATCCTCCTCATCCTCATCTTGCGCTTGCTCCCATTCCTCCTCTTCCTGTCATGCATCCCCCTCCCTCCTACCCCTCCTCCTCCTCCTCCTCCTCCTCCTCCTCCTCCTCCTCCTCCTCCTCCTCCTCCTCCTCATCCTCCTCCTCCTCCTCCTCCTCCTCCTCCTCCTCCTCCCCCTCTCCTCCTCCTCCCCACCCGTGTCCACCCATGTCCCTTACCCCTGTCGCACCCCCAGGCGTGTCGGCAAGGCAGGCCGTGCGCTCCGCCTAAGTATTCCGCGTCGTCTGCGCCATGGGGTGAGTTTGCAGATGGGGCTCTCGCCCTGGCGCCGCACACGTTCGCCCCAAACATTTGCAACCTTCAAAATTGTGCATTCGGCATACAAGTTTGCAACGACATCAAAGATGGAGGGTGCGATGTTCGAAATGGAGCTCCCGCCTTGAAACTTGAAACCGCGCACATTCGCCTGCCAAAATCGCAATATAATCAAGGGGTGAAGGTCGGGTCATGTTCAAAATGGAACGTTCGCCCAGGACCCATTCAATGTAAAGGCCAGAAGGTCGAACAGGTGTAAAGGCTGCACGGGTTGGCGGTGGCTCATTGTCAAAATGGGGCTCTCGCGTGGGACTTCCCCGAAGTTCACGACCATGAGTGCAAGCTTGTGGAACAAAAGCCCAGATGGGAGGCGATCATGCGTCAAGAAAGGGATATCGCTGGACGCGTTGGTGTTGCTTGACGTGTTGTTGCCTGCCAGGTGTTGGGCGAGGCATGTCCCTGCCCAAAACCTGGCTCTCGCCTAAATGGCAGGCCCGCTAGGTACTGGTATGTCAAGGGGGCGTTGCTTGCAGTGAAAAGGAAGGCTTGCAGGAATGTGTGGGAAAGGTGCGTGTATTGCAGCATCGTTGATGCGTCTTGGATTTACTCAGGTCGTCATCATCTTACACCTCCTCATCGCATCATCCACATCATAGTCACCATCCTCATCACCATCTGCATAATCAACATCACCGCCAACCCATCACAATAACGAAACCAGCATCATCGGCATCGCCATCATCATCAGTATGGTAGTCGTCCTCATCATCACCATTACCAACATCATCATCATATGCACCCGCATCACAACAACATCGTCAACGCCACCCGTATCATACGATCGTCGTCACTGGAGCCAACACCTTTGGAAACATATACAGGTAAAAATGTATAGAGAAAGATGCGAACGTTTACAATATATACACACAAATTTGGATGTTAGCATACATACATGCATATATACCTTACAAACCTCGCGCGCGTGGCGCGCGCTCAAGTTCTAGCTAGGATCCACATCCTCGGCATAATCGCCAGTCGCATCACCAGCATTGCCATCGACATCAACATCGCCATCATGACCGTCGCCATCATCATCATCAGCATCATCATCATCATCAGCAGCATCATCACCATCATCATCGTCATCATCATCAGCAGCATAATAGTCACCAACATCATAATCAGCATCATCCCCATCATCCGCACCATCATCAGCATCATCATCATCGTCGCACCATCATGTTCATCAGCATCCGCATCACCAGCACCATCACCATCATCATCAGCATCATCATAACAAATCATCAGCATCATCATCATCACCGTCATCATCATCACCATCATCAGCAGCAGCATCATCAGCATCATCATAATAATCACCATCGTCATCATCGTCAGCCTCATCAACACCCTCATCCATCATCACAATCACCACCACCACCAGCATCATCCTGCTCATCAGCATCATCATCATCAGCAGAAGCAGCAGCATCCTCATCAGAGTCATCGTCACCATCATCAACGTCATTAGTATCATCAGCATCGTCAGCATCATCATCATCATCATCATCATCATCATCATCATCACCATCACCATCATCATTATCATCACCATCAGCATCATCATCATCAGCATAATGAACAGCATCATCATCAGCAACGTCATCAGCACCATCTGCATCGCCATCGTCCTCGTTGTCGTCATCATCATCATCAGCATCATCAGCATCACCACCTTGATCACCATCATCATCATCATCATCATCATCATCATCATCATCATCATCAGCATCATCACCATCATCACCAGCATAATCATCACTCTCACCCTCCTCCTCCTCCTCCCCCTCCTCATTATCATCATCAGCATCCTCATCATCATCACAATCATCATCATCATCATCATCATCATCATCATCATCATCATCATCATCATCATCATCATCATCATCATCATCCGTGAACTCCAATCCCCTCCTCCTGGTCCTCGTCCTCGTCCTCCTCCTACTCCCTTGCCTCCTCCTCATCCTCCTCTTCCCCGTTCTACCTCTCCCCATCCTCCTATCATGCTCCTCCTCCTCCTACTCCTCCTCCTCCTGCTCGACGCCGTCTCCCTGATGAAGATCCCGGGTCCTCCACCTCCTCCTCCTCCTCCTCCTACTCCTCCTCCTTCTCCTCCTCCTCCTCCACGTCCTCCTCCTCCTCCCTGTCATCCTCGCTGTTTTCCATCTCCCCCTCATTCTCTTCCTTCAGCTCCTTCACCTCCTTCCTCCCGCTAGTCCTCCTCATCCTCATCCTCCTTTCCCCTTCCCTCCTTGTCCTCGGCATCCCTCGCCGAGCCCGAGAATCCGAGAGCCTGAAAATCTTGCAACAATAATTTGGAACCAGGTGTTTTCTGCCTCTTGAGGCCCTCTTGCTGGTCCTCGTGAAGCCTTCTTGCGCTGGCCTCGCGGCCTTCTGGGCCGTCTTGAGGCTAACTAAATCCACTTTGGGATCCTCTAGGGCAGTCTCGAAGCCTGTGGGTTCGCGTCGGCGCCACCCTGGGCCGTCTTGGAACAATAAGAACCTCCCAGGAACACTCTGGGGAAGGTACTACGGCTGTGACCGGGTGTCCGCGACGTGAGCCAGGGCTCGGGGCTGGGAACTGGTGCTCACCCGCATCATCCTCATCCTCATCTTCATCTTTACCTCATCATCACCACCATCATCATCATCATCATCATCATCAGCAGCAGCATAAGCATAAGCAGCAGCAGCATCATCAGCAGCATCATCATCATCATCATAATAAACCTCATCCTCGTCCGAATCAGCATCATCATCGTCAGCATCAGCATTAGCATCAGCATCCATTCTCATCCTCATCCTCATCCTCATCCTCATCCTCATCAGCATAATCATTATCATTATCATCATTGTCCTCATCACCCTCACGAGGTTCATCAACTTCGCTGTACGCATCGTCCTCGTCATCATCATCAAGCTTATCCTCCTCATCACCCTCATCAGCAGAATAAGCATCATCATCAGCACCAGCATCATCATCATCATCATCATCATCATCATCATCATCATCATCATGGTCATCATCATACTCCTCACCTTCAAAACCTTCACGATCCGCATCATCATCAGCATCATCATCACCATCATCATCCACATCATCATCATCATCATCATCATCATCAACATCATCATCATCATCATCATCATCATCATCCCATCCCATCCCCGCCTTTTTCCTCTTCATTATCATCATCATCATCATCGTCAGCATCAGCATCATCATCGTCATCGGCATCAACATCATCAGAAGCATAATCAGCGTCAGTATCGTCACCATCGTCATAATCATCAGCGCGAGCGTCAGCATCAACATCAGCAGCAGCATCATCAGCATCATCATTAGCATCGACATCGGCATCGCGATCATCATCGACACCGTCATCGACCATCGTCATCGTCATCGTCGTCGTCGTCGACGTCGTCGTCGCCGTCGTCACCGCCGCCACCGCCGTCGTCGCGGTTATCGTCATGCCTTCCGCTGTCGTCGTCGCCGCCGTCATCAATACAATCCTCGTCATCATCCTAACCGTCCTCATCATCCTCATCAGTATGATCAGCCTCAGTATCCGCATCACCCATTTCACCTCCTCACCCTCATCATCCTCATCATCCTCATCACCCTGATCATCCTCCTTCTGCTCATCATCCTCGTTCTCCTCCTCCTCCACCTTCTCCTCATCATCGTCATTTTCATCATCAGCATCGCCATCATCATCATCATCATCATCATCATCATCATCATCATCATCATCAGCATCAGCATCAGCATCAGCATCAGCATCAGCATCAGCATCAGCATCAGCATCAGCAGCCGCATCATCATCGTCATCATCATGGCTCTGATGATCATCACCGTCCTCAACCCCGACATCAGGCTCATAATGCTCAACACCCGCA